TGTTGGTCCACGACAACTTTGTCTGGTGTACGTGCATTTTTTGTGTGTGTTTGTTTTGTTTTCATTGGCGACTCCTAGAGGCAATTATGTTAAATTGCACATCTTTGAGTCGTGCAATGGCAGCTGTGTGGGACAGGATCATCCGCATTGTCTAGCACGTATATAAGGCTTTCATACCATACAGTTGCAAAAAAGTACAATTTGCAGAGGTCACCGGTTTTCCCAGTGTAATCGGAGCGATCTACTGCACACACATTGCTATAACGAAGCCATCTGAATACAAATTTGCATACGTCAATCGAAAACATTTCCATTCAATAAATGTGCAAATAATATGTGATGCTACAATGCGCTTAACAAATATTGTAGCAAGGTGGCCTTGGTCAACCCATGAATTATTCATCCTCACAAACAGCATGGCTGGGATGAGGCTCTAAAGTGGCAGGCATTCAGTCAGTTTTAGAGTGGGCAATTGGGCAGCTGAAATGCCGGTGACGCTGCCTTGATAAGAGTGGAGGGGTGCTGTTATACCTCCCTAACAAAGTGTTCCTCTTATACATCTGTGTCTTCCACACAGACACGGATACTACTCCAGACAGTAAAGTGTTGCCCACAATTGAGGCAACTCTCTCCTCAAGGGGAGTTAGTTCAGCATCCCTTGTTCCCAGCCGGTTCGGTCCACACTTTAACGGTGCGCCGCTGTTCTCCTCTTAACCTGCACCTGTACATCAGACCATTTCTTTTTTATTTCACTCACAGTGTGATGTTCAGACCCCACTGGGTTAACCGCGTCAGCTAAACTCTCCCACTCTATTTTTTTTCTTTTGTTATTAATTCCGGAGGACAAACTTGCAAATAACACCGCTTTTCTCCGGTGTACCTCCGATAGGAGCACCTCCATTTCACATTCTGTCAAGTTTTTTTTTTGCTGGCTTTTGCCAAAGTAGAGTCATTACCATGTTTATTAGGGGGAGGAGGCAGGGAGGGGTTTTGCTCTCATGCACGTGCGCTCAGTTTTACCTTAATTTGGATGTACAAAGAGAAATATGCGTGGGATATCGCGTACGCAGTGTTTCATACATCTAAATTTTTTACTGTGTATGCAAATTTACAGCTTTGTACATACACATGGTTTTTAGTATGAATTCATTGCAAGTCTTTGTACATGATGCTCTTGTTGTTTTTTCATAAACTGACTGACTGACAGACCCACCCTCCTCCTTCCATAAACCCAACCAATAGTGTTTTAAAGCACCAACCGAGCCACCAACCCACCCACCCACTTCCCTAAACCCAACCAACAGTCATTTCAAAAGCAATAAAGAAAAAAAGAAAAGCCCTCATTTGATTTTTACCACGCTTTCAGATTTTACCACATTTTTACCCTGTTATTTACTTGTTTGTTTTACTTTTAATAGAACCCCTTTAAACCATCATATGAGCATAATCGTTAATAGATACATTTATTCTGGTGAATATTCACTATAAATCAGACCACAGCTGGGTCATGTCCATGAGTAACCTCACTGCAGTCTGAGCAGGATCAAACCAAAACAAACCAAGCATTCATCTCCCTTGTTTTCTCTCCGGCTTGTCACTGACCTGTATTAAGCGCCAGATACATCTGTGCACAGCTGGTGAATTTGCCCCAGATAACAGTCACACTGATCTAAGACCTGTTAGCATGCAGTCACACTGGTACTGTAATCAAAAATAGATTTATAAATGAAATTTTGAATAGATCAGGATTTATTGAAATTAATGTTTATATTATGAAAACATGTTAAAAAAGGGCTAACTGATAGCAGCAGTTTAACTGATGTTTTTCTGTGGTGGAAAGACTTATCGAAACATGATGCAATTACTTATGTTCACTTAATGCTAAAGAAATGCTGAAAGAGCAAGAAATGATTGCATTCTGTCAAGATCACCAGAGATCAAACCCTCAAGGATTAATGGAGAACATTCACTTTTACTCTGACTACACCATATAAGCTACAACTCCCTTCAGGCAATACACACACCTGCCCCGGTTTTCCATTGATCTCTCTCTCTCTCTTTCTCACACACACACACACACACACACACACACAGCTGGGAGCTTCTAAAGACCGTATAACATAAACGATATAAACAGCACACACACAGATATGGTTGAGTCTTGTTGGTTTGCACCCTGTAACATCACAAAGCATTTTTCCTTGTTTTGTCTCTCCGTGTTTTGACCCTCACCTTTTTTTATTGCTTATCCTGCCTGACTATGCTTCTGGATTTACCTGTATGTTACCATTTGCTCCTGATTGTGACCATTTTCTACCTGACCATTAACTCATTCATTTTCCTTTTTAAATTTGGTTTAGTCTCATGCTGTGTTCACACCAGAAGCGGAACGTGCGAATAAATCGCGCTATTGAGGCATGAACAGCCGCGTGAACATATTTGCTTCATTCGCACGTCAATTTTGCTTCATTCGTGCATCAAATTCACTCCAGAACAGACGCGGATTCGAGTGATGGGCTGCCCGGTGGCTCTAGCTTCGTAGCTAAATGTCTGAAGTTCAGATTTTCGAACTCGAGCGATTCACCCAAAATGCTCAATTCGCGCCGCACCATTCATGCGTATCGCGCTATTCGCACACCCGCCTATCGCGCGATTCGCATCATTTATGCTGCAGGATGTCTATTCACGCGTTTGCATTGACTTAACATGTAAATCACTCGTGCTTGACGCACGTTCCGCATCTGGTGTGAACACAGCATTAGTCTTTTGACTAAAATTCCACTTTAGATTTAGACAATTTTTAGTTATCTGAACCATTTTAGTTTTAGTCTAATTTAAGTCTAGTGAATTTCATTAAATTTCAGTTGACTAAATCTACTCTAGACTAAACCTACTCTAGATTCAGTTGACTAAAAAATATATATTTTTTAATTTAAGTGTAATTGAATTAAAATATGTGTATTTGTGGCCCTGGCCTCCAACCACCACCCAATCTACATTGCATCGCCCCCATGTGGCTTCTCCTGCAGGTAATGACTCACATTTTATGACTTGCATAAACAACATTTTCAGTGATGAAGTCTTCTTTAATGCTCTGCTGTAGAAAACTGTCACCTACATCTGAGATGGCCTGAGGGGTTGAGTAAATTATCCCTCCTGCTGATTTAAGGCAGAGGTCACCAATCTCGGGCCCGGAGGGCCGGTGTCCCTGCAGGATTTACCTCCAACTTGCCTCAACACATCTGCCTGGATGTTTCAAGTATACCTAGTAAAGCTGCGGTCACACTAGAGTTTGTGTGTGTGAAATTCTGTCGTACGGCGCTGCGAATAGGGGCGGGATTAAACAAGATGGTTAGATATTTAAAAAGCGAGCGATTGCTCCATATTTTAAAATTCTGTCCAGAGATGTCATGTTTTGATCCTCGATTGGTCTCAAGCAGTCAAGTGATTCGATTTCACAGGTCCAGAGTTCACCAAGCTTGAACTTTGCACTGCAGCAATCTCCGAAACTTTATGCATAACCCTGCGTTTCCGGTCTGACGCATTCGCGTGCATATGAATGGAAGTCTATGGGAGGAAAAGCCCAGTGTGATCGCAGCTTAAGACCTTAATTAGCTGGTTCAGGTGTGTTTAATTAGGGTCTGAGCTAAAATCTGCAGGACACCGGCCATCCAGGAACAAGTTTGATGACCCCTGATTTAAGTCCTCGATGTACTTCAAACAAAATCTCAAAAAAAGTACTGAAATGACCTTATTTTGAACAAAATCCTGCTAAAACAAAGTACTTTATGAGTTAATTTCAGCAATTTCACTAAAGGGGAGTTTGTTTTAGTCTTAAACACCTTCAAGCTACTATTGGTCTGTGGCGACTACACAAAGTTCTGGAACTTTTTTGACATGCTTCGTATTCTCACAGTTTAGAGTTAAGCTGTGGTCACACTGCACTTTTCGCCCCATAGACTTCCATTTATACGCACGCGAATGCATCAGACTGAAAACAAAAGCTTGTGTGACAAGTTTCACAGTTTGCTGTGTTGCAATGTTCCAGCATGGTGAACTCTGACCTGTGAAATCAAATCACGTGACTGCGTGAGACCAATCGAAGTAACATGCTTACACTAATGGTCGGAGTAGCACCGCTGTACAACTACTCGTGGAAACACTCTGAGGGCTTCACACACCAGTCGAGAAGCATAATGGAATTGCACCACGTTCGATGAAGTTCTAAACATTGTTGCACTTGGTGTCCATCCACGGCAATGGTAAAGTAATGTGGCGTAGTACAATTAACAATATATTTTAATAACTGAAATTATTTCAACTACTGCAGTCCTAACATTTTTAGATTACACTTCAAATTTGTTAATTTCACATTTTATTCTAATGAAAGGAATGAATTATAGATAAGCTATGCTGTCAACACTGCAATAAAGCTAAACTGTGTGATGTGTGACTCTCAATAGAATATTGAGCTGCAGCATTAAGCTCTCCTCTTGTACAGTATGGAAACTCGCTGGATTTTGAGGCACAACACTTGATCATGTAAAAAGCTTTCCGTGAGTTTCCCCGACAGACCATGCTTTGAGTTGTGGATTATAGGGGATTTTCTTTTTTTTCCCTAGATAGATTTACAAATAAAAGCAGGGGGAGGGGATAATCTAACCTCAAAATTTCAGAAAGAATGTAAGCAAGTTTACAGCTTAAAAAATCCTGTGAAAGGGAAGCAATTGAACACAATGTGATGCTGTTATTATTATGTGATGAACAGAAACTGAAGAGAAAAGAGGTTGCTTGTGGGAAGCAGCAGGGGTCATTGTGATGGATGGAATGATTAACACACATCTATAATTCAACAGCAGCGGAGTGAATGTGAGGATTTGCATTCTGGTCTTTGAGCTGATTCTGTCCTATTGTGCATATTGCAGTATTTTCAGGCAATTAGGATGTTTTGTGGTTCAAATTTGGGGTTGCGTGACATTTAAAAACTAAGCAAGACAACACACTCTTAATTTTTTAATATTTTCATCCACATTTGTCACAATATCATTGCAGATCCTTGGTGGTGCAAATATAAAGAAGCACTACACTGACATCACAGCTGATCAATCGATAGCGAAAGTCAAATAAACACAGGCACTTCCCTTTAAGCTTTTCACTGTGAAAGGGTCGGACGAGGTGCAATGCAATGGTAACACGACAAGATGCTAAACACAGTTTTACATTCATATGTTCATAGTGTGTGAGCTGCACGTCAGATCTGTGGTGTTTAATATACTAAGCTT